TCGATTAGTTTTCTAAATTATTGATTAGAATTAATTAGTTTTTCAAATAATATATTAGAATTGATTAATTTCTGAAATATATACTAAAAAATTATAATTAAAAATATAAATTATTTAAGAATATTGACTATTGTAAAGATAAAGTAGAACATGGGAGGAGATGAGGATGATAATATAGTGATAGAACTTACAAAAATGTAGAATTGAGAAGTTTGAAACAAATAAAATTAAGAAAATAGAGATTTAATTACACTTTTAATAAATTTAAGATAATACTAGTTTTGATTTTTATTTTTAAATATTTATTTTAATTATTTAAAACAGAGAAACTATAATTTTAGTTTCTAACTACTGAATTTAAAGAATTAAATTTATTATTATTTAATCTTTTAATTTTAGTATTAAAATTTAAATTATATTTTATTAAATTAAAATAATTACAATATATTTTTCTACTTTGAGAATGAACAATATAATTAAACTCAAAATTCACAATATTATAATACATTTTTGAACTCTTTTGGATTATTTTTTTCCTAATTTTTGATAAAGTTAATTTGAATATTTAAAAGTATTTAACATTTTGAATTCTGAAAGGTTTTCTCTAATAGCAAATTTAAAAACATAATATTCAAAAAATAGTTAATGTAAGTTTTCATTATGATCGATTATAATTAGAAATGAGCGATTATAATTGAGAAGATATGATAGCGGTTCCACGTTAACCGCTATCTAAAGTATATTTTAGATAGCGAGTTGAGTGTTAACCGCTATTAGAAGTGCCATTTTAATAGCGGTTTCAAGTGGAACAACTATCATATACAACTAGATTTCTTTATTCTGATCGATTAGATTTTCAAAATGATCGATCATATTTGATAATTTTTTCAAATAATTAATTATAATCGATTAGTTTTCTAAATTATTGATTAGAATTGATTAGTTTTTCAAATAATAGATTAGAACTGATTAATTTCTGAAATATATACTAAAAAATTATAATTAAAAATATAAATTATTTAAGAATATTGACTATTGTAAAGATAAAGTAGAACATGGGATGAGATGAGGATGATAATATAGTGATAGAACTTACAAAAATGTAGAATTGAGAAGTTTGAAACAAATAAAATTAAGAAAATAGAGATTTAATTACACTTTTAATAAATTTAAGATAATACTAGTTTTGATTTTTATTTTTAAATATTTATTTTAATTATTTAAAACAGAGAAACTATAATTTTAGTTTCTAACTACTTGAATTTAAAGAATTAAATTTATTATTATTTAATCTTTTAATTTTAGTATTAAAAATTTAAATTATATTTTATTAAATTAAAATAATTACAATATATTTTTCTACTTTGAGAATGAACAATATAATTAAACTCAAAATTCACAATATTATAATACATTTTTGAACTCTCTTGGATTAATTTTTTTTCCTAATTTTTGATAAAATTAATTTGAATATTTAAAAGTATTTAACATTTTGAATTCTGAAAGGTTTTCTCTAATAGCAAATTTAAAAACATAATATTCAAAAAAATAGTTAATGTAAGTTTTCATTATGATCGATTATAATTAGAAATGATCGATCATAATTGAGAAGATATGATAGCGGTTCCACGTTAACCGCTATCTAAAGTATATTTTAGATAGCGGTTGAGGGTTAACCGCTATTAGAAGTGCCCTTTTAAGAGCGGTTCCAGTGGAACCGCTATCATATACAACCAGATTTTAAGATTGTGAAGTCTCGGGTTGTATTTCGCTTGAGCGACAGTATACTCGCTCGAGCGACTTCCGATTCAAACATGAGGTCACCCATGTTACATTATCCGGCTCACTTTGATCGACGGTTAGCAGGTCAACATTCGCTCAAGCGAAAATAACATCGCTCGAGCGACTCCACCTGAACAAAATTGGCATTCTCGGGTTGTATTTCGCTTGAGCGACGCGACCTGCACAAAATTGGCATTCTCGGGTGGTTTTTTCGCTTGAGCGACACTGATCTCGCTCGAGCGACATCCACATTTTTTGATTATGATCGATTACATTTTCAAATGATCGATCATATTTGAAAATATATAATAGCGGTTAATATTTAACCGCTATTAGAAGTGCTATATAATAGTGGTTAAGATTGAACCGCTATTAGAAGTGATATTATAATAGCGGTTAAGATTTAACCGCTATCATATACTACCACATTTTTCCCTATCCCCACATAACCCTAACTCTCGCGCCTCACTCACCCATTCCTCTTAACCTTGGCCAGTATCTCCTCCTCACTCCCGGCGAGCCCTAGCCCCCTCACTGCTCTCCCCAAGTCAGCCCTCACCCTAATCCAACCTCCACCAAAGCTCCTCGTCAACCGGACGCCACCCTGTGAGCCACCGCGCCACACCTCTGTTCTTAACCTCCTCCGCAGCCTCTGACACCCTCAACCAAGGTTTGGCTTGTTTGAATGTATATACTGTTATTCTCTTGCATTGTGAATAATATAGGATAGATAGTTTTGACAGAATTTCTTTATCGTTTGTTGTAGGTGGATTTGTGAAGTAGATAGGTTCTTTGATCCCTCTTACTGCGGATTTGGTGGTGCTTGACAGACCAATTTGGGAACTTGTTGAGACTATACGCCCTCAGGTTAACCATTTGTAATTTGTTTTAATTATCTGTTGGATCTTAGTGAAAAGAAATTTCATAATTATTGGGTTTACTTATACAATTATTTGGTGGTCCGTATCATACGTACTTGCATAAGTAGTGGATAAATACCTTGGAAAAAATGTATTAGAAAAACGTAAGTACTGCATCACATGAAGTGAATAATGCAGTTTCACTTATGCTGATTGTTGTAGTTAATTTGCAAGAATAGAAAAACATAAGTAGTGCATCACATAAAGTGAATAATGCAGTTTCACTTATGCTGATTGTTGTAGTTAATTTGCAAGAATAGAAAAACATAAGTAGTGCATCACATAAAGTGAATAATGCAGTTTCACTTATGCTGATTGTTGTAGTTAGTTTGCAAGAATGGAAATCCCCGTTGGTAGAATGTGGATGTTGATAAGGGTGCCTCAACTTACTGTGGGGGTTCCATATCTACTGCAACTCACTTTGAGAAGATGGTAAGTTTATTATATTTTTATATAAGTAATTTAATACAATATATTACACTTTAGGTAATGAATTTTGTCTCATTTTAATGTGTAGACTACGGAGTTTCAACGGGAACCAACTGTTTGGGAGGTTGTTGAGAGGACAAAGAAATTAAAGACTGGACAATGGGTCAATGAAAAAACTCGTTATCTTGCTGTATGTTTAACATCTAAGTTATAGTTTATTATTTAATATATGTTTTCTTCATAATAATTATATTTCACTTCATTTTTAGGAACAATATATGCAGCGCAGAGAAGAAGTCCATCAACATAACTTGCGTGAAGGTTCATCTTCACAAGAGTCTCCTATTGTCTCTGTTGATGATAATCAAATATACATTTCAGTTGTTGGAGGTGAAAATAAAAAATTTGACTTTGAATTTAAGACTTTGAATCTTGATTAGTTGTTAAGTTCTCCTATGATATTAAGACTTTGAATCTTGTACTTCATTCTTGTACTTCATTTGACCCACTTGTATATTTGACCCACTTCAATACTCATGACTTCAAAAAGTCTCCTACTACATCAAAAATTTGACTTCAAATATACAAGAGTCTCCTATGATATTAAGACTTTGAATCTTGATTAGTTGTTAAGTTCTTAAGTTTCATTTGTGTTATGTTTGGATGAATTAAGCAGGTACAAATTTTGTAAAATTGGATATACAAAATTTGACTTTAGTTCTTAAGTTTTCATTTGTGTTATGTTTGGATGAATTAAGCAGGTACAAATTTTATGATTTGAATAATTTGACTTTAGTTCTTAAGTTTTCATTTGTGTTATGTTTGGATGAATTAAGCAGATACAAATTTTTTCAAATTGGATATACAAAATTTTAAATGAAAATTTTCATATTTGGTTAGATTAGCGACCGATTTTTTCGATCGCTAATAGCGATTTTTCTTGTAGTGAAAGTCATTCACAACAATTTGGTCATCAAATTATTAGATTTTGCGACTGAATTTTTCTAAAATTAAAAAAGTGTAAAATAAAATTAGTTTCTCGGTTTTTACTATATGATTATTTTTTCTATACTATGTCATTTCTATTTATCATTTATGGAATATTCAATCTATTATTATAATATTTAATTAAAATTGTTATACTTGTTACATCAAATAAAAAATGTTATATATTTATTTATTATCTATGTAGATTAAAAATATTTGATTATAAATAATTTTTAGTTTTAAAGTTTAAAATAACATTAAGTATATCCATATTTTTGAACCTATATATAATTTAAAATAAATTTAAGAGGTATTATGTTTTTTTTTTTAAATTGAATTTTTTTCTACAATAAAATTCTAAAACAAATAGTAAAAAATATATCAATAAAACATCAAATTGATTTTTGTTATGTCTTTACTTTTAAAATGATTTTTAATTTTGTATATATAATAAAAACCGAAATGAAAAAAAAAAGATAGATTATTATATATGTAGTGCATGAATGAGTGGCTATTATATTTAACGTGATAGGGATAAAATGGAATGTGATATAAATATTGTATTCAGTTAAAAAAAAAAATTATTCCACTCTTTTATTTCTATAAAATAATCTTATACGATTCTTAAAAAAAGAAATAGAGGGAGTAAAGAATAACTAAAACTAGATTTTCAGGAAAGAATTTCCGGGAAACAGCCAGAATCTGATCTATAACTTGTGTAAATGAGAGGGAGAATAATAAGATTAGAGGCATTATGAAGGGATGAAAAAAAGAATTAATAGAAGCATTGATTGTGTTTGTGAGGTGGAGATATAAATAAATGCTCGGTTTTTTCTTTTTCTGCATCTATCAAATTATCCTTCTGAATATTGTTACTACAGAATGAATGAGGCACTACGCCATGACAACAGAGTCTACAGATTGGGGATATGGGTGAGAATTTATGATTATTCCTTCACAAACTTTAAGCCTTCTACCTCCTTGGATTCAATGATTCCTATCTCTGTTTACAACACAACCGTATAAATATTTTATCTATGAACAGGCTAAATCCGATCAGCTTAGAAGAATCAAAGATGATTCAATTCCAATTGAATTGGTCGAAATGAAGAAAGTACATCTTCAAGAGTTGTCCAGTCTACGGAGTTTTTCTCTAGGAGACATTGTTGAATGGCCATCCTTGGAGAATGTGGTTGTGAGGAACTGTCCCAGCATTAAGAAGTTTGGTTTGGGAAAGATAAAACAGTCACAGTTAAAATCAGTTCTCATCATCGAAAATGAAGTGCAAATTGATGCAAAGGTTCCCTATCTTTTTGAATTGGTTAGTCCTCTCCCAATCATTATTTCTCAGTAGTAGATAACAAGATAAAGTTAAACTTTAGCACTTCTTTTCCTTTATTAGTCTTTGGTGTTTATGTTTTCATGACTTCCACAAAATAATAACGAGCAATATTACAGGATGACGAATTGTCAAATATTATTGAGTACAATATTGGTGACAATGAAGAATTAATTAAGAAAATACGTAATCTTCAACCTTCTCATTTCACCAAACTCCAGGTGCTTGAGGTAAAAAATTGCAATGAAAACTTACGCGATTTTTTGTATGTTTTGGTAAGGAGGTCCCACAAACTTGAAGTTATCAACATTGAGCAATGCAAAACAATCTATTCTTATTTGTTTGACACTACTGATGCTTATGAAGAGAGACATGGAGATGGTATATATTTGACACAGCTTAAGGAACTAAAATTAACAAAAATAGATGGGATGGAAAAAATATGGAGTGATGATAAACCAGAAACTCTTTCCCTCAACAACCTGCAAATTCTACACATCAAAGATTGTCACTTTCTGACACATATATTTAGTTTTCATCAAGTGAAGAAGCTTCACCAACTAAAGGAATTAATGATAGAGGCTTGTGAGGCATTAGCTAGTGTTTTGATGAATACTTTGTTTAGAGTTGGTCCCGCAAGCAAGTTCCCATTACTGAGTAAGCTGGAGTTTAAGTCTCTCCCAAACTTGAGCTATTTCTATAGAGGTGATCATGTTCAATTCCCTAGTCTAAAATATTTGACGATAGAAAAGTGTCCAGTCTTGACAAAATTTATAACGGATGCCAAGTTATTCCCAGAATTGAATGAGATTGTGTTTGACAGTAATAATACATTGGTTTATGTCATCTCTTCTAAGACATTACAAGAGTTAAGGAACTTGAAGAAAGTCTTTGTGAGTCATTGTAAGGAATTGAAAATAATATTCAAAATTTGTGAGTCTTATTTTACACCTCTCTTACAACTACATGAACTAATTCTGACTCATCTTCCAAAGTTAACTCACATTGTCCATGATGAAATTTCAAAGTTCTATCCAAACCTAAAAATCTTGCAAGTGAAGAAATGTAGGTCTCTTAATTGGCTACCAATGCCTTTGACACTAACAAATATGAAAATTTCTGATTGTGAGGCATTGGAGAAAATTATGATCAACAAAAATGAAGAAGAAGGGGGAATGAGAGAGAAGTTCACCTTTCATGAATTAAAGGATGTTTCTCTTGAAAATCTATCCAAACTCTCCATTTTCTTTCCTTCAATGTCTGAATTTCCATCATTAGAAACACTAAAAATAGCAAATTGTCCTGCGATGAAGACTTTTGTTGAAGATTTCAAAGCAGTTACAGAATCGTCTACAACCAACTATTTCTTCCCAAATTCAGTAAGTTTCAATTTTAAAGTTTGAGATAAAATATCATTTATCAAGTATGCATCTATATTTTTCATGCAAATTACATGTTTCCACTTCTTCATCATTAACATACGATGTAATTGGTATCTATTTTAATTACTATTAATATTTGTAAATAAATAATTATTTTATCTTCTAAATTACATTATTTCATTTTTCTAATAATAAGTTAGTTTATAAATTTGTTCTCTTTTATATATATATATATATATATATATATATATATATATATATATATATATAGAGTAGTAATTATTTATAAATACTATTATTATTATTATTTATAGAACTAACAATAATAAAGAAAAGACAAAAGTCATCTTCATGACAGATAAAATGGAAGTATATGGAATTGAATAAGACAAGGGCATGCCATGCTATTATATATGTGACACTGTCAACTATCATTTGTTCAATTATTTCTTGTACTTCATTCTACTTAGTTTTGAATTCATCCTAATAGTTGAAAATTACCACTTGCTTGTTGCAGTTGTTATTGGACAAACTAAAGGAATTTCATATGATAAATATGCATGTGGGGAAGCTTTGGCATCATGATTATCCTTCTGAGTCATTTTGTGGATTGGAAAATCTAAGTTTGACCAACAACAATAAATTGTTGAGTGTTATCTCCTCCAGCATGATTATGAGATTCAAGAAATTGAAAAAAATAACTTTGGACAAATGTGAATTATTAACGGAAGTATTTACTTTTGGAGATGACAATCTAGATCATAAAATCCAAGAAATAATACTTCCTCAACTAGGGGTATTAGCATTGATTGACCTAACACAACTAAAATATGTATGGAACAAGGAACCTCAAGTTTCATTTTTCCCAAATTTGGAGTCACTATATATACATTGTCCATTGTGGTAACCTTAAAAAATTATTCTCGGTCTCTTCTGCCAAAAATCTTGGAAAACTTAAAATACTCAAACTCTGTAATTGTGAAGAAATAGAAGAGATAGTTTATAGTGATATAAATGAAGATGAAAATGTGCATATCACTTTCTTCCAACTAGAATGTCTTGTACTCAAGGATCTTCCAAAGTTGGTCAGTTTCTACAAGAAAAGTGTAACTTTGAATTGGCCTAAGTTGAAAACGGTAAGGGTGAGCAATATTCCAAACATGAAAACATTTTCTAATGGTACCCTTGTGACACCATTTTTAAGATCAATTTATGTAACATTTGTGAGGAAGCTTTGGCTCGGAAGTTTAAACCACACCATATCATATATGCACCACAATTCAGGTACTAATTTTTAATATTGTATATAGACATTAAAATATTATAGTGATAAGAGTTTAAATATATTTGATATTATTGGTATTCTAAATTATGCATCTTAAATTGTATATAGTTTCCTTTTCATATATACACATACGAATATATAAGTTAGTAGGGATCTCTAGAACATTTTTTGGTTAATTTATATATTCTCTTAGTTCTCTTTCAAACCTTGTAAAATAGCTATTTCGAGATCAACTTTGTTATTTATATTTTTTATATATAGTAGTTTTTACATTATTTTTTCCCGTTTATTTTTATTTCATACACCACTTAATTATCATATAAGTAAAGTTATTCTCTTTTATTTCCATGTCTCGCTTGCATTATAATATTTCTCCTTTTCATTTAAAAAATAACCTCTCTAGTAAGATCTTGTGACAATTCTTTCTTATACATTGCAATGTTTATTGGCATGGTTGATTAAAAATTAATTGAAATGCATAAAGCCAAGGAGGAAGCGACTGAAGTAGAAAAAGGCAAAGAGATTGATCAACATGCAACTTCATATTTTGTTTAGGTAACCTCATATCTCTAATTCTTTAACATATAAGGATAAATTTTCAGATATAATTGAAAAAATTGTCTTTCTTTAAGCATCCCATTTACATATAAAAATAATCTGTCAATATTTTTCTGTCTCAGAGTTCACTTTCGAATTGTCTAATTATTACTAAATAGGAATTTCGAAACATAAATATTTGTGTTCAGCTCATGTGTGTAAATTTCCTTTGTTCATTATTGCAGCGTGACATCACTTCAGAAAATGCAATTATACAATATATAATTAAAATAGAAACATCTCATAACGTTATTATTAAACAGGTAAATTTTTTAAAATTGTTTGTTATAATTTTTCAAACCCAACAATTTGTCTAAAACTCATCAAAACATCAAACTAAATTATTGTCATCGTGAAAATTCTCAAATGAAAAAAAAAAGAAAAAAAGTGAATGATTAAACTCAAACATTAAAATATTAAAGCAAATCAATTTTAACATAAATGATTTCAAATTTTTAAAACCTTATTAAAAAAAATTGATTAAAACAAAGTATTCTTATTACGAAAGTCACATCATATATTTAACTTCTTACAATTTCATTATTGTTTTTACAAGAACAGAATTCTCCAACAATGACATATTTGGAAGGTTAAAACTTCTCAAACACAAGAAATTCTGGAAGGTTGGAACTTCTTAGACAGAAGGAGGGACGGTGCCTACAAAGTCACCTAATAATCAGGGCAAAAAAAAAAAACTTATGGATTTGATTTATTTGGATAAATTAATTTATCTTAGGTTAAGTGTAATTAAGATTAATTTACGTTGAGACCTATTTAATATAATTACCATTTTCAATAGTTAAATTAAGTAATATAATAATTATAAAATAAAATATTATCATCTTCAATAAGATGATTCTCTTGGTCGACCCCTTCAAAGAAAAGCAGTTTTTTTATCTTCTTTACAAGAAAAAACAAACTACTCTATCTCCTACATATCCCAGGAAGTAACGTATAAAGTGTTTAATCTTTCCATGCATTTAATGAAGCATAAATATAGGGGAGTCGAAGCTCCAAGCTAACAATTATATGATCTGAAAAATAAAAAAATTGAAGATAAAAAATGCTCTGAGATCATAAGTGAACAAAATCTTGTCAAACCTTCTTCAAAACTTGTCTAAATGACCTTTTATAATCATCTACGGATTAACTAAGTAATATTATTTTGTTCCTATGCTTCAACTTTCACATCTCCTTTCTCAAGTATTGATTTACTATAAAAATATTTCACTTGATTTGTGAAAAAAAAAATAGAAAAATACTTCTATAAAAAGGAATATTTTGATGTAGTATTCTTATAAATGACAAAGTAATATTGTATAATTAAAAGTGGTTTAGAAAGAGAACTCATACATGTTGTAGAGACAGGAAAATTGTTTGAAATCAATAAAAACTTGTTATATCTTCATTTTCTTTCTCTATCTCCTACCTTCTTTTTTTTTCTTTATCTCCTACTCCTTTTTATCTGCAAAAGTCTATTTATTTTGAGGCCTTAGCGACCAAAGAATTAATAGAAATAGCTACATAAAATTTTAATCACTAAAAGTCACAGTTGTTGGAGAAAGTCATTCACGAAAATTTGGTCGTCAAATTATTAGATTTTTCGGCTGAATTTTTCTAAAATTAAAAAATTTTAAAAAAATAGTTTTTCTATTTTTTTACTATATGATTTTTTTTCTATATTATGTCATTTCTATTTATCATTTATGAAATATTCAATATACTGTATTGTAATAGTTAATTAAAATCGTTATACTTGTTATATCAAATAAAAATTGTTATATGTTAATTAATTATCTTCTTTTTTATAAATTAATTTTTTCTACTGTAAAATTCTAAAAAAAATAGTAAAAAATATATCAGTAAGACATCGAATTAAATTTTATTACGTCTCTACGTTTACACTGATTTTTAATTTTATATATAATGAAAACCGAGAGGAAAAAAAGATAGATTATTATGTAGTGAATGAATGAGTGGCTATAATATTTACCGTGATAAGGGTAAAATGGAATGTGATATAACTATTATATTTAGTTAAATAAATTACCGCACTTTTTTATATCTATAAAATAATCTTATACGATTCTTAAAGAAAGAAATAGAGGGAGTAAAGAATATCTAAAATTTGGTTTTTAATAAAAAAAATTGTTATGATTATTGATCTATAAATCGGAATTTTCATAAACATTTGAACTATTTCATTTATGAACAGAATAGCCCTATATTAATCTTTATTATTGTTTACATGATTTAAATATTTATAACTTTAAAATTATTCTTTGAATTATATTTTATACTTATAAAGAAAATATTCACCCAATCATAATATCTAATTTTTCTTGTTTATTTTTATATATATGTCTTAGGATCGTGAATGATTCTAACGTATTGAATTAAATAACTATCTTTTTATTTTTATATATTATTTATTATATATAATATAGTTATTATTAATTTAATATTCTAAATTTCATGTGATATGCGTAAACATGTAAATCTTTTATTATCATGTTTTCATCCGTAAGCAGATGTATTATTTCTCAAAAAGTAAATGTGAAAAAATATTTTATTGTTATATATGTTCCATTTTAAAAAGTGATTGTGAAAATATTTTATTTATGTTTTTGTAGTTAGGATTATGATTGCTGAATTGAACTGACCATAAATGTGATTGTAATTGTATTAACTATCATTGATTAAAGACATTATTATAAAAGAATTTTGTTGAGAAAACATAGTGAAATAAAGAAAATGAAAAGGATTATCATTATGATGATAAAGACCATTAATATCTTATTTATTGTACACCAAAAATATCTTGTTTAAGTAGTTTAACTATAGCTAATGAGATAATGATTTTAATTATAGTCATATGAATTTTATTTATGAAAATGATGATTTTAATTACAATCGTATAAAATTTGCTTAAGAGTGTGATACTTCTAATTATGATTATCATATTAATATTTCTTATATATTACACTTTACTCAGATGAAATAATTTATCACGTTAGTGACAAAAACATTAAAAAAATATTTATTTTTATTAAAAATAATATTTTATATACTTATGTCTAAAATAATATTTCATGTTCTTAATGTATTAATATCATTGAACTATTTGTTTAAGATTATTTAAATTCAAAATATTTTAAATCACTTTATAATCTAATTTAATTGTGGTAATAAAATACATTAAGATATATTATTAATTTTTTAATTATTTTTTTGTTTTACTTTAATTATATATGATTTATTATTGGAATATATTTTTATATTTAAAATCATTTTTTACAATGATTTAATCCACATATATTATTATATCCATTAAATGTATTATGTTTAGTAAGAATTATTTTTTTATTGTTCTAAAATATTTCATTGTAATTAATGTATTGTTAAAGGATAATTATATTTTAAATATATTTTTTTCATAATATTTTTAATATTGTTTTAGAATGACTAATATATATAAGGATTATGAAAAAAAAATATTACTACAACTATTACATGATTCTAAAAAAATTGATAATATGAGAAATCAGTATCACAATTACGGTTACCAAATGGAACAAAATTTGATAAATAAATATATATATATATATATATATATATATATATATATATATAATTATCAAATTGTGCAAATTTTGAACTTAAAAATATATTTATTCTCACAAAATCTAATAAACTTTATCAA